GTTCTTCTGACTGAGGAAGCAGTTTTCTGTGAATGGAAGTATTTTCATTCTTAGTATTGTTTGTTCACAAGTATGTCTGTATATATTTCCTTGTATGAAAATCTCTGCCGGGGCTACTAAAGATTTGTTTTAAATGAAAAACATTTTTCCTATTCATAACTGAAATTTATATTTGGTTGTCCTGAATAGATGATGTACATGATTATATTAGGAGGGGGGAGGGGACATGTTGTATATGCCATCCAGCAAAGTGCAACCAAAATGATTAGGGGGCTAGAGCACGTAACCTGTGAGGAGAGGCTGAGGGATTTGGACTTAGTCTGCAGAAGAGAAGAGTGAGGGGGGATTCGATAACAACCTTCATCCCCTTTGCAACCTCCCTTCAGGAAGTTGGAGAGATGGTGTTCTTAGTAGTGACAGATGGTAGAACAAGGAGCAATGGTCTCAAGTTATAGTGGGGGAGGTCTAGGTTGGATATTAAGAAAAACTATTTCACTAGGAGGATGGTGAAGCGCTCGAATGGGTTACCTAGGGAGGTGGTGGAATTTCCATCCCTAGCGGTGTTTAAGTCTCGGCTTGACAAAGCCCTGGCTGGGTTGATTTAGTTGGGGCTGGTCCTGCTTTGGGCAGGGTGCTGGACTTGATGACCTCCTGAGGTCTCTTATAGCCCTATGATTCTATGATATACTTACAGAATAATCTGATTTGCATAGGGATTCTGGGGGACAATTTCAAAAGCATTAAAGTCCCATTGATGAGACTTGCACTCCTAAATCCTGTAGGCGTGTTTAAAAATCTGTGCCTTTTTATGTGTCTTTGTACTATGCCTAGTATGTTGTGTGCTGACAGAAATAAATAGGTTATAATTATGTTTAATCTAATATATAAAGGAGAATGTTTGTATGTTTGTGTTCTTATACAGGCAGTCCCCGACTTACATGGATCCGACTTACGTCGGATCCCTAGATACGAACCGGGGTGAGGCAACTCCCGCACATGCGCAGCAGCATTCCCAGGCTCGCTCACCTGGGTCCTAGGATCCTCCTCCTCCTCGGGCCGGCTCCGACTGGGGTCCCGCAGAGCTGCCGGGCAGAGGAAAAGTGCCTCCCCACGCCCGCTGCCCCCTCCCCTGAGCAACAGGCTGCCGAACAGCAGACAAAAGCAGCCTCTCCGCCCCTCCTCCCCCTATACATGCTGGGCTCCCTGGGCAAACAAAGACTCCACCAAAACAAACAAAGTGCTGGCCTCATTGTGTTAGCAAAAAAAGGACCCTCCTCCTAGAACCCTGGGTGGTGTGTGGAAATAAAGCTATTAGCTCAAAGCATGGTGCAGAGCTGTTTGGTATTTGATGAGTTACTCCTTTAGTCCTGAGTTTGTCACAGGGACAGAAATAGATGTGAAATCTTCTGAACAGTGGAACAGACAGCAAAACAAACATTAGAGGGGAGTTAACCTTTCCCTATGCTATCCAAAACTAAAAAAAATGTTTGGCTAGAGTTTCCCCTACAATATGTACCAGTTCCGACTTACATACAAATTCAACTTAAGAACAAACCTACAGTCCCTATCTTGTACGTAACCCGGGGACTGCCTGTAGTGTCCAAGTTATTAGAACTACCGCAACCAAACTTTGCATGGGATAACCTTTCATCCAGGAGAAGGTTTTAAGATACTTTTGGACCCGATTGGGCCTGAGCTCAAGCTGTAAAAATCAAAAAGTAACCCGCTGCGCTGTAGGGGCCTCCCAGCCCACCCTAGGTTCTGTGCCTGCCGCCTACGGCCCCCAGCGCCATCCAGGACTTGCCCCCTCCCGCCTGTAAGGTTACATAAGCGACCCTCTTCTCCTCCCTCCCCCAACACCCCGCGCCGGCACGCAGTGTCCCGACCCCCATACGCACGACGGCTCAGGCACCCGCCCTGCCCCCGCAGTACCTGCAGCCCTGCGTGCAAGCTGAGGCGCCCCTCCCGCGTGTAACTTCCCCTCCACCCGGGGTTGCGCGCATACACCCCTCCCCCTCCAAGGATGAAGCAGACCTATAGAAATCAGTGCAACTTTTCTACTATTCAAAAAAAAAATAATGGACTACTGTTTTTCTACATTTTGTTCCTCCGGCTTCCTGAGCTACGCCAGGTAACTCCAGCTCATCTTCTATATATTTTAAAGGGTTTGTGAGTGTCTGTTCAAGAACTCCTAAACAGTAAGAGCTAGGACCATGAAATTCTATATACAGCTTCCTCTTATCAGAATTTAAAATAGAATAAGGGTTTGTTTATGCCAGGAAAATGGGATCTACCTGGAATGGGACTGCTTCTCATGAAATGGAAAGTGAAGACTCTGCTATATAATGACCACATGGGGGAAGCAGAGGACATGGGATGGAAAGCAGCGACAGTTATACTGTACAATGACCACAGGGGGAGCAAGGAGCTAGAGTTGGGGACCAGGACAGCTATAACCCCATTGTGGCAGCAGGGAGGAACAGACAACTATCTACTATATATGTGAGAGAGTTTGGCTGTTTGGGTGGGGAGTGCAAGGGGCAGATGAATCTGGACCTGCCCCAGTGTGGTGATTTACACCCCTCCCTGGCTGTGCCCCTTGGAACTGCAGCAGCTATGGAGAGTTGCTTCTTACATAGCCTCAGCTGCTGCAGAGAGAGGGCTGGGTAGTCCTCTCTCTCCCCCAGACAGCCTGCATACTGAACCCCTCATCTCCAGTCCCACCCCAGAGCAATTATTTAAATGAAGAAAAACAAAGATTACCTGAGTTAAGTATCCAAGCAAAGCTGGGTAAAACTTCTAGTATTATAGATATTGACCATACTAAGTATATAAACTTTTTATATTGCAAGTAAAAAGTTACTTATCTGTTTGTATTTAAAGTAAGATTCTTATTTAAAATTCACAGATAAATACTATATGCATCTCCCATGTTCCATGACACTGTAAATAACTCTAGTACATCAGTATTTACACCCTTTTGAGTAGGACCTTGTGAACTCAATAGATGGTTTTATTATACTCATTGTTATAACCCCCAGGAAACAAAATAGGTGAAAGTGTTATGAACAAGGCACTAATACAGAAAGACACAATACTTTTTTACAACATATATGAAAGCTTGAAGCTATACGTTCTACATAAAACAACATTCACCTACTGCAGCATAATAACCCCCCTCCCACACATAATAGGACTGCAAATATACAAGATGAACAAACTAGTGTAAAACACAGGCAAACTGTGCTGTATAACATACATAGTGCACATATGTATTACACACATACGTATGCAGCTAGGAATAGCCTTTAAAACAGTGTTACCCAAACTGTGGGTTGCGACCACCAGGGGGGTTGCGAGCAACTCGGCGGGGGGAGGGAGGAGGTCGCAGCTAGGGTTGCCAGGTGTCCAGTATTCAACCGGGCAGTCTGGTTTTTGGGCCCTCTATCCGGTAAAAAAATTCAGAAAATACTGGACATGTGCAATGTCTGGTATTTTCTGGTTTTCCAGTTGGGTGCCTGACGGAAGTCAGGTGGAGGTGGGGCACGATCAGTGCTGAGAGCCTCTGGTTGCGTGTGATGCCTTGGGGAAGAAGGGAAGCCCTGTACATGCTCCTGAGTGCTGGTCAAGCGCGTGTTAGAGCCGCAGCCGAACTCACTCACACTTTGCTGGGATTGTGCACCCTGGGATCTACATGTGCCCGGGTCAGTCCCGCTCCCCGCCGGCCAATTCGCGCTCCCCCCAAACCCCTCCCAGCCGGCTGGTTCTCCCCCACTTTTCCTCCTGATCTTCCCCAGCCCTGCTTCCAACGGCCAGTTCTCCCCTCCTCCTCCCGATCTTCCCCCCGCCCGCCCCCC